ATTTAAAAGGCTTACCAGAAATAAATTGTAATATTTTTGAAAGCATTTGAGCGACATTAATTATTTTGCCATTAGAGGAGCAAGAAGCTAATGACATGATTTTAAATAAATCCTGGCGAATGTTCGTTGATTTTCTGAAATTATACGTACGAACTTGAAACATATAAAAAAAAAAACTCCAATTCCTGCCCATATTTTTATTCCCACGAATAAAATTTAAATTTACATTTATTCGAGCAAGTGATCCCAAACTTTCGAGCACATTTCCACGGAATTTGGAGAACCGAAAACAATTTAATCATCGCGCAGCAGGTACTAAATCCAACTCGAATGAGAAAGAACCACAACAGGACCGCGTTACGATTTGGCTGAAAAATTGTTGCGCACGTTTATCGATAAACAATTCCTTCTATATCCTAATATTGTCTCTTGCTACGATAGTTGATTCGTGTTCAAAGTGGAAATTGATTTGGAAGATTCAATGTTGGCACAATATTCTATTTCCGTACATGCTGCTCTGAATATAGCCTAATTCCCCCCCCCCCCTCACGAACACTGTAAAAAGGGCTCACGTTTGTTTTCTTGTTCTTATTTATTATAAATCGCTTGCTGACCGTGCCGTTGAATTTTTCGATTCGTGACAATTATAGTATGCCCCCTTTATCAACGTAAACGCGTTCCATTCGGTTCTTCGACATTGATCCAGCACAGTGGGTGACGCGAGCAAAAATAGAAGCATTTTAAAAACGACGACGAGACGAGTATAATAATCGCATCGCACCGTACCGATCGAGGCAAATAATCGAGCAGCAAAGTTACTCGAGGTTTCACTGGCGCCCTAAATTCCTCTTAAACTTCTTGAGATCCATCGTGGCTCAAGTTAAATGTCTAGATGTTTATACCCGCGCGGCTGTTTATAAGAAGTATGCTTTCGGTTTACATTTAATTTTAGAGTCGACTTTCAATCATTATGTATTTATATATATTTTCTATTTCGTATATTATTTCGGTTTCTTACGCGCTAGGAGGTTAGAGTTAAAAACTTATCGTTTGGCGATTAATTATTTAAAATATGTTCTGTTTGTTAATCATTTTTAGTGTTTTCGCTCTTTTTTTTCACCTCTCTCACTTTCTTCTTCTTTTTCTCCCACCCTTTCTCTCAGCCTACCACACGCTCTCCCTTTCTCGACGCGTTCATTTACCTCTAAGTCAATCATATACTCGCTCGTTTATATAATATTTATATATTTCTCCGGCTAACTCATCTGTCCCGTAAGTGTATATCTGTGTATTTTTTCTTATCTCTCACCATTAACCTCCCCCCCACCCCCCACCCCCCACCCCACCTCTCGGTATAAGTGATTATACTGCGATACTTTGTTTATACTTCATTTTGCTTATAACCTTAGACGTTAGCGATAACCATAGTAATTGTTTATGCATATCGTTTGCTTATACGCCTAGATGGTACGCTATATAAAACTATCCTATATGCAAATTTTTTCCTCACCAATTCTCCACCTTTTCTTCTTCTTCTTCTTTTTTTTTTTTTGTTATAGTTTAAACATATTCGCGGGAGCCACGCGTGTTCGCGCGCATCTCGGCACACGTACGCACTCGTGTGTGTATATATAGGTATCTATACGTACGTACACAGAGACACGCATTATCTCGCGCTATGTTGGCCTAACTACTTTCTAAACGTAAGATTTGTAGCAACTTCCTAGGGTCGATTCGTGACGCGCAGTCATCGGGGGAGTGGTGCGACCACGGAGACGTAGGATCCCTCGAGCGATGGTTTCTCGTCCGATCGGGGCACCCTCGATCTCGATCGATCCCAACGTCCCGAATTCTCGAGCGTTCGTCCCCACGTCTACCCGAACATTCATCGCGTTGTCCGAGAATTAATCAGGAAAATTCGCGTGTCGACTTTTCCCCTTGTTTTTTGACCCTTTTTCGCTGAGTCGCATTCGTTTAATTCAATTCTCTTCTACTAATCGACTCCAACGTCACGAATCGACGATACGCAACGCGTCCCAATTTCGTTTCGACAATTCGTGCGGCACACTCTCTCGCTGTGTCGCTCGGTTACTTCGACATTTTCATCTTCTTTTTTTTTCTCCGGTACTTTTTCCATTTTGTTCTCTCTCGTTTATTCGACTCGTGTCCGCGAGGTATATCGACACGACGTTCCAATCGCGATCGGTCTCGAAGAAACACCGGGTACATCGAGCCCCGACTAAATGAAAACAAACGAACGCTTCGATGGAACGGTCCTCGTAACGCTGACGAACGACTACGTGTCTCCGTGCCTGTAGATTTGCACGGCAGCGACGAGCTACGGTTGTTAAGACTAAACTTTTGCTTCTCCCGTGGACGCGCAGCTTTCGAGTCGGATTTCTCTACAGGCGTTAAAAATCGTCGATTCACGGAGGAACGAAAGGGAACGGAATTTTTCGCCCATCCTACGAACGAGTGGGGAGATTATTTTTGAAAGAATTGGAAGCAGTGCTGTCCGGATAGTCCCGCCTTTCTCAATGACGATTGAGGTTGGGTACTGTTGGGAACCGAAGAGAATAGACCTGGATTGAAGTATAAAATAAGTTACGAATTGTTGAGTCTTTTGAGTGTAATGTCAAGGAATTTATACTTGCGTATCGTAATTTATTTGATGTTTAATTGTACGAAGGCTGGCTAAATGGATTTGGGAAAATCTAGCGTTTATTGTCCAAAAATTGACATAGAATAAATAAAATGCATAATGATTAATAGATTGAAAGAATAAGTATCTCATTTGTATACTTTGCCAAGATGACTGTGATAATATGAATTGGGCAAAATAATTGCAAGTTTTTTGAACGCTCGATGTAAATAAAGAGTCGAGTTGATGTATCGACAGAATCCAAACGTGTCTCAGTCCCATCGCCAGGTTTAGTGAAATTTAGCGGAATGGAGGTGTCGAACGTAAATCGTGTTTCCGTGCAGCATATCACGCTATCTAAACGTAGTGATCGCCTAAAGAGTTTCCGGCACACCGAACGGCTGAACTAGGGAACGTGTTGTTTCAAGTCAGAAAGTATGATTGGTCCCGGATAGTCGATCGAAATATGGCCGGGTAAATATACAAGATATACCGTGACTCTTTTCTTTTTATTCATATTTTTTTTTTGTTCTTTGTATTTATTTATTTTTTTCTTGTTTTGATTCTCGTACCTACGACTCGAACATACTACGCAATTTTGGATGACCAACGACTACAACAATCGCGTGCCGATTCTATCGTTAATACAACCGCAAGGAAAAGACATCGATTTGGTACGTTAGAAAAAACCGAATTTCCGCATTGTTCTTGCGATAACGCATAAGCGTACCTGAAGGAATTGACATCGGTCGGCTTGAACTTGTCTAAAGTAACTTGCCGATTCTTTTTTTTTTTTTTTTTTATTATTTATTTACACGCGCGCGCGTTTCGTTTAAATCGTTAGACAACTGCGAATCTATCGTTAGATTACGATCGTCAACTAATTTCCTAGTTGCTCCACTTCTTGGCTGGCGTACGCGCGCACGCGTAAGAGCGTCGAGAAAGCGATCATGGTTATTTTTTTTTATCGTAACACCGTGTATTTGTGTGTATACGCGTGTACGTGTGTGAAAAATGTACGAAGAAGACGAAGGAACGCAGGAAAGGGAAGGAAGAACGAGGATGTTGACTCGCCCGACGCTTGGATGATTAACGCGACACGTTCGTGTACAGTCTCTCTCTCATCTTTCCTACTTGACGCGAAACTCGAAGACTGTAATTACTCTCCGTGACAAGTTTGGTAACGGTGAAATCAGACAGTTGCTTCCTCGCTGCAAACAAGTCTGAAACGTGAAATACCAAGCGATAGTGAGGAACGTGGGCGGACGCGTATCTCGCGATGGGGTTGAACGGGAGCGACTGATCGCGCGCACCGCTCTAACGCATGCGCGCTTGGACCCTCACTCTCGCTTAGTCGAGCTATTCGCGTGAAACGTGTCTCCCCGTTCGATAGTGATTAATTGCACGCGTAACGTTAATATTCTCGTATCGCGAAACATGAGCTGAGAGTACCGACGCGTAAGTTCCTTTTCATAACCGTATAACGACGACGATGACGATGAAAATTCGTATCCGGGGTCTGCAAGTTTGTGTGTGTTTGTGTGGAGTCGCGCTTAAAGCCTACAACGAGACGTATTTAGTTTAATATTCATACAGTTAAAGATAGTACGATTAGTTTATAGTGTTTAGCTCCGCTCGTCTGCCGTGTCGTATGGTGCGCGTATTACGATTCGCGTGTAATACGAATACCCGTGTACGTATTGGGCGTAGGAAACGTACCTGTGTGATCGTATCTGTGCTATCATATGTATACGTGTGATTTGCTGATGTGCGCGCATGTGTTTGTACGTGTGTTTGTGTGTATGTGTGCATGTGTGTCTGTGTTTACGTATGTGTTTATGTGTGTATGTACGTGTAGATTTTTTTATTTATTTTGTTGCTAGTTCTTTACAAGTTACGCAAATAATTGCAAAAACATACCCTGTTTCCTAGTATCACCGACACCACGGCTACCGGATATCAGGTCGCGGCGCGCGTGACTTGAATCCAATGTAATTCCACGTAAAATTTGGATCGATGACGCGTTATAGCTGTGTCGAGAGGGTTGATTCGTTTTCTGCTGTAATTCTGTGCGAGTGCGGTGGTAAAGTTTACTAAGTACGTCTATATGAGATGTTTGATCATTATTATTATCGAGATTATTATACACAATCGAGAGCGGAGGATTTATACTCGTTCCCGTTTCCCATCGAATCTTCGTGCGTGTCCCCGCTACCACCATGAAATTACCAGGAAATTTGTGTGGGAGGGATAAGTCGTAATCATCTGCTGCGGGTAGCGCAACACCGTTACGCGAATTAATGAAATCGAAGAACGCAGAAGTTGCTTGCTACTCGTTTTTCTTTTGTTTGTTTGTCTGTTATTTTTTTTTTTTTTTTTTTGGCAAGTTTCCCAGGTAATTTTTATGGTTTTTTGGGCAATATCGTTTGGACAACGAACGCCGCGAGTATCGATTTTCGTCTGTCGAGCCTTTTGCCAGCAGAGATCAGTGAGACTCGTCGATTCTCGACGAAATCGATAAGAAATTCGATACCCTGACGTGCCGTTAATTTACAAGCCGCGAATTCGTCTCGGTATTACATCACGTCATGTAAAAATAAATTCAAAGCTGATCCTCACAGATTACTATTATCATTATTCTCTTCGTCACCTTAATAGCTAAGAATACTTATTTCTTCTTTCTCTCTTAAGTCTCATTTACTTCAATAGTAAGATGCATACTACTTCGGTTGTAGCAAAAACTTTGTTGGATAAAATAGTTGTATTTTTTTTTTTTTTGGTTTGTTTACAATCGTCGTTACCTTCGTATTTATATTTATATATATATATATATATGTGTACATTTATATTTATATGGATTTATAGTTACTCGTTTAGGGTAGGTTGTGTTCCTTGATATTCGCTATTAGTACTGTTAAACATTAAAAAGCTTAGATCGTAGTGATATTATCAATTGGTGCTTGCATACAAGCTTTTACCAGTATACATGTCTTTATTTTTCATTTTCTCTATATTCGTGTCTGTCGGTCGCGCGCGTGCGCGTGTATCTAAGTGTGTATACTTGTGTGTCTGGATTGGTTTGTTCGTGTGTGCGCGTGTGGTTCTAAGTAATCACTTTAACCGTCTATCATCCCTTCGCCTAAATTGTATCTCAGGTTTGTATAGTTCTTTGGTTCGAAGTATGATCGAAGTAATGAATACTGAAAATGATGGACTGATAAACGCGAACTAAATGTAGAAAAGATTAAAGAAAAGAGTGTCATCTGATTCTGTTTAGGAGGTGCAACACATTCCCTGTCTAAGAGGCGCGTGGCCATCCCCACAAGCCTCGAGCTTGGAAGGGATACTAGAAGAGAGTCTTTTAGACAGGATTCGGTGCAAAATCGATTTAAATGAAAACACTTCTGATTACGATCGAATAAGTTGTTGGTAGAACACTTGGTTAGAGATTATGGTTATCACGAGTACTTTCTTTAATCGATTAAAAAATTAATAACAAAGTAACAAATCCGTGCTCAACTCTGTTTAAAATAACGTGTCGAGTAGGTAAACGATACATGACGCGTGCGAGTGAGAGAGGACTCGCAGTAGCGCATTTTAATGAAACGCAACTATAATCGATCGATTACGCGACGCATACGTGAAATGATGAGGGGGAACTGGCGACGTAGCCTGCCAATGGGTGACGATACTAACAGGTTGTGCCTGTAAAACGGAACGCGCCGATTCGATTCCAACGAAGAGACCCCACACGGTCATGTGTAATATGAAACTCGCAGAGACGAGCACCTAGCCGTGTCTAATCCGCTAATCATCTTTGCCTGACGCGTACCGTGGAACTGGTGTACACAATGCCATAGGAAATGCAACCCTCGTAGGTTGCGCCGTCGTCGCAGGCCCTTCCGCAGGCTGCGCACGTAATGCATCAAGCGGGCAAAGATAGACACGCGCGCGTTGCACGCGTCTTCTAATTATGTTTACGCTCGCGTCGCTATGGCTGGGATCACTGTTTGCGTACTCACGGCTTCTGATCGCGATTGCTCTTATGGTCTCTGATTGCACCTCGGATTAGCAAACGTATGGTCGCGTTAATACTAAGGTATTTCCTTCCCTTATATTTGCATTACGGACAGATTATCGCCCAGCTCCGTTTTGTTGCGATTTCGCCTTTGTTTTGTGAGCCAATATTTGCATGGCGAATCACTCAACTTTGTCGTTTTAAATATCTCTTAAGTCTAGTGTTCTATAGAAGATATTTTCATGGGAAATTTGCATGGTATCAAGGGGGAAATAAGAGGTATGAATCGTTTTTTTAATAATCTGGTTATCCTTGACTTTTTTAAGTGGAATAGCTGTTAGGTAGAGAATCAAATTTTGAGTGAAAGAATATATGGGTATGTTTAATCTATTGCTAGTATTTATTGAGATACGGAGGAATCTTCGTTAAGTGTCGCGAAAATTCGTTCAGTAAACGTCGCGAGTTCACGCTCAAATTTTCTAGCGATTATAGAGTGTGTTATTAAAGACACATTTGACGACAAGGCTCTATTTTACTTTCTTTCATACGATGCAAATTACTCATTTTACTAAAACGATCCTGCCACTTATCGAACGAATTCTCGCAAGTCTGTATCTCGACAAATACTAGCTATAGACTATATGTACTCTAATATTTTCCCACTTAAAATTCGATTCCTTTTCGAATGGCAGAATCAAAATTGGATATTTCGTTTGAAAATGCAGATATGACCCTGATATTTCTGAAAGAAGAGAAGGCAATAAAAAAGTAACGTCCGTTTCTATGTCCTCTTCGATACGATGCACCTTTATATGAAATAATTTTATATAAAACAGTCGATTTAAGTCATATTTAATGTTAAGTTGGGTGGTTCATCCTGTATATTGAAATTACATCGCCGTTCGTACTCTTTTCCTCGTTTCCCTTTCGTCGGATCCCTCTCGAAACGGGGGAGATGAAAAGGTCGTCGGTTTCGCAATATGTATATCAACACATGACCGATTTCGACGCGCTCGTTTGCGATATATGTCGTTAATCGCAAAACATACTTTTTTAGAACTGTATGCACGTTTTTAGCACGTGGCTAAGATTTTTTCTCACGCTTTTCTCGGCAACGTCGTTCCGACGGGCTTCTACTTGTTTCAACATCACGAATCTACGCTCGCGTTCTCAATACGTCGGCCTGCGTAGGTATACGTACATACACGCGTACATGTACATACGTGTGTACAATGAGATATACGTTTACGCGTGCACGCACGTATATAAACAAATTTAGCGTTCCTAAAAATGACAAGAATATATACGTATTTTTACCGTGTAGTATAAATTATGTGTACGTATTATAAAGTATCGTTATTATTATTATTATTATTATTATTATTATTATTATTATTATTACTATTATTATTGTTATTATAAATTAGTTATTAGTATTAATTGATTCTTCATATAATATAATAGTATTTTATATCGTCAATAATTAGCAAGCCATTCGAGCTCGTCAAGGGAGAGGAATTTATAGCACACCCCACCTTTCGTTTAAATTTTTCATTAGTACTTACTGTACGCGAGTGTCTGAACAGGCAACGAATTTACGAACAGATTTCAAAGCAAGAAAAAGGGTTGCCTGCCCCTAAAATATAAATACATTATTTTTTTTTTATGTGTGTTCGTACGTGTGTTTGTGTGTGTGTGTGTGTGTGTATATATATATATATTTGTGAACGTACAAATATACAAACAAAGATATGTATACACACGCGCGCATATGTACACATACGTGTGTACACATGTATTCATTTACATATAAATCCGTTCACTCGTAGCAATAACTATATTCATTTAAATAGTGTATAAACTTGCGATAGCCTTTAGTCGCGTCTTAAATTGCGCCAGACTAGAGCCGCCACCTCCCCATTTCTCCGTCCCCCGAAGTTAGTAATTTATTTCATGTTGATTTACCTAATCAATAATAATTTACTAAGTCTCTAATTTTCCTTGAATCAATATATGTATATATTGATAATGTATGTACACATATGTATGTATATAGACGACATACGTACACATACATATATACACATATTCATTTTTTTTTTATTTATATTATATTTCATATTTATAGTATTTATATTTATATATTTATATATTTATATACTTCTTCTTCAATAATTCATATTTAAATATTTATATAGAATAGTTGTTGGTACTTTGGTTGATTATTTCTGCTAGATCGGAGTTCTCCTCCCCGTTCCATCGCTCGCCTACGCTAGTTTATTTTTTTTTTCTCTACCGTTCTCTCAACGCGTTTGGTTTTCGTTCCGATAAACCCCATTTTGTTTTTTTTTATCATCCCCCGTCGCCGTCTCTATTGCCTGGCTTCTGACCGCGATCGTGTTCGCCTAAAATCGAAAAAGCTCGCGTGAAACCGCGTGATTCCACCGGGCACCGCTCGTTAAATGTCCGAATGTTTCATTTATCGTGCTCAGAAAAATACTCGATAATCGCGTGAGTATCTTGCGCTGTCTCTGCTCACATCAAACCGTAACAACGGTTGGGCCACGCGTGCGGGTCGCACGCGTATCAGTCAGGTCTGCTCTGTGCGAAACCCGATACTCTGATCGTTTAAAAAATCATTTAGAATAACAAGCAACGCCAACAAAACAAAAAGAAGTAAACGATAAAACGTAGAACAATAACTCGAAAGAAACGTAACGTAAGATACCGAGTGTCTGGAGACTAGATTGGTTCCTCGGGTATATTCTAAGGAGAGTATAGAGATCAGATAGTAGAAACAGTTCGACACGAAATCTTCTGTGCATTTTCAGTGTAAACGAAAAGAAATTGCAGTTGATTTGTGTGTCTAGAATGTATGCATCCTAATATTCGCGTGTACTTGTTCCAATCTTGCATCATCGTCAAGTTTCACAGAACTTTTGTCGAATTTTCGAAAGTTGCTATCGCCCCAGGTAGACGGGGTACACCGTTCCCAATGAAAATATACAATAAATAAATAACCTTATTAAAGAAACAAATCTGGTAAACGCATAAAAATGACTAGATGTAGACTAGGTAAATAAAGTTAAGGGAAAAAGGTGTATGCACATTCAGCCGGTTCGGACGATCTATCGATCCCTTTTTCTTTGGTTTCAAGAGGCAGTTCGATCTTGCCGATGTCGTCACTGTCGCCCACCTTTTGCTAACCCTTGTTCGTTTTGTTTAGATAATCACAGCCTAATTGACATTTCCCGGGCGATGCGTGTCCGGTGAACGAAACGAGAACGATTTTACAGTGGATTACCGAGCCACGAGATCGAACAGCAACAGGATCTCGATCCCCTGTCGATCGCGACAGGGATCGGATCGAACGATCCTCCCTCATCCGTTTCAAATGGAATCATCCGATGGATGTCGTTCAGATCAAAAATTCGCTCGCGCACTTCGCTTAACGGTAGTCGTAATCGATAATCATGATCGTAATAATAATGATGGTAATAAGGGTTAATAATAATAATTACTATACAGAGGGTAAACGAGCGCCGCGTCGCGGATGACCAGGACTTTAGGATGACTTCGCTTTCAACACGGCACTGGCGATTCCTTTAAATGTTATATGTAAAAAAAGAATATATATATATTTATAAGCAAGAAGAACCGATAACCCACGGATGTCGGATCGGCACTGATTCCATGTTTTTATGCGTGTACGCCTTTTTGAGGATATATGGTCGCTCAAAAGTATGAGAATACTCGAAACTTTGTCGAATTTCAAAATTCCGTAACTTTGTTCAAAATTGTCGCAAACTGTTGCATCGAAAATGGAATTGATGCTTGATACTATTACTTTTTGATCCACTTGGTCAATTTTAATATAATCAATGTGTCGGAAGTAAATTTTTGTTTAAAATGGAGATGTGTTAAAGTGTGAACGATTGTTTAGTGTTTGACAGATTGATAGGCTGCTGCTAACAATTTTTAGATTTATTATAATATTGGTAATTATTCAAATGGGATGGAAAGAGGCGAAAAAGCAAAAGTATCAATTTTCCATTCCATTATCAACTCAATAGTCTTGCACGATTTTGATCAAAGCTAAGGAATTTCAAAATTTGACAAGTTTCTCGAGGATCTATATACTTTTGACGAATAGTGTATCGAGTGTATCTATGCACGTGTACATAGGAGTGTACGCGTACGTGAACGTGCACTTGTTCGTACGTTGTTTCTCGAAACTCTTGGATGTTGCGTAAGACGAGCACCCTGTATACGTGATTGACAAGTTTGCGTTCGAAAGAACGCGTTTACGACCTCGCCGTCGATCTTCTGCGAAGTCCCAACCGATACATCGACGCTCGAAAACGACGACGATGTATCGAAACGACGGCGATGTCGCGCGTTTCCAGACCGAAGCCGAGACATCCCATCGGATTCGACGATTTGCTCACGCTCGAAACTAAAATTGGGCGAAAGTTGCTCGGCTAAACGAATAAATTTGAACGCTGCCTGGAGATTCGCGTGCCCTGAGAGGCCGAAGAGGTATCCGTCTCTCGGTGGATCGAATCGCCGTAATAGTTAACTCTTTTCTTAACGGTTGGTCGGACGATAGTCGCCACACCGTTGCATCAGGAACTGAGAGCTCTCTTTGGTTATTGTTGAAAGGTCACCCGTCTTTGTTTATCGTAATTATTAAACTAGAAGTTAACGTGTCGTCGGAATGATCGCCCGTACGGGAGACTCTAGGCTCCCGAATAGGGGCTTCCCGAATGTTCGGACGTCCGAATCGTCGACGGAACGTGCAACGAATGGGGATTCCGTTTGGTACCGTACTCGTTTGGCAGTAGGGTTCGAGACATGAAGATTGAAATAAATATGTTGAAGAGAACTAGAGGTAGAGGACGCAACGAAAAGGATGTCGTTAATTGTGACGCCGTTTCTTAGTTGTCGACTCGATCCGTCCGAACATCCGAGAACGTCGAGCGTGCATTCGTACTCGCATTTGGTATTTCGGACTCAGTTGTCAGTGCTGGACATCCGATAATCTTTAGCATCAGCCTCTTCGTTCTCGCCGTGTGACTGCAGACGAAGTCGAGCTGACTTCTAATTTTTATCCTCTAATTAATTGTCTAACTAGTATACTAGATTATTATAGTGGAGAGCGTTGTAACGGTGATTCAAACTCGTCACTTCTGATCGTCGAGCGTTCAATGAGCCCGTGTTCTTGTACGACATCTGCAATTAGAAATATTCGAGGTTTGTTTTATTCGTTGTCTTCGAAGTGGAAGTTCAAGTAGTGTGAGATTTGAAAGAGTGGTTCTAAAAATTTACTTTGCAAACAATAAATTATGAATTATTAATTTCAATGATCGATAAATTTAATTTTAGGTATCGTTAGTATTATTATCGAGCTTAATAACAGATTATTTAGAGAAATTTTGTGCATGTGTATTACTTCAAGTAAAAAGAAATTTCTGTGTCGACTTTTCCATGTCGTAAACGAGAATAGCTACACCATAAATTTTAATGAAAATAATTTCTAAAACGTACTCTGTAGGTTACGATGTACGGTGCATATCGTCCAGTTTCTCTAAGCTAGGACTTTGGTTAGTATGGCCGGTTTGCGTCCTTGGGCCTCTTTAACTGGACTTTTAAACGTTTCATCCCTATCTGGAAGCCGTTCATCGTTTGAATTGCTGCCTGCGCACTTCCTGGATTGTCGAACGACACGAAACCTGAAAGAATCGAACAGTAAAACTGCTGGTAAATAACAGGATTAGGTTCATTAGGAACATTAAGATCTCTATCTTATTCTTTCAAAACGTTTCCTATGCGATAACATTAATCATATCCTTGAAGTTCCATTCGGTTCTAATTACAGATCAGATTTTACGTGGAACTATAAAGAGATCAAAATACCACCGTCTTCTCCATCGATTACACTGTAATGGCGTCGCGAGGATGTTAGGCGAAAATGGTCGAAATTGTGGTCGCGGTGTTCTAGAAATTGGTTTCCCGTACTTTCGATGAAAATGAGAAGTTGAATATCAACACACCCGAGGGCACACCGGATTATCGCGAAAGAGTACTCACGAGCCAACCAGTGAATTAGATTAGTTGATTCGCCCGGAGGAATAAAAAGTTTCCTTGCGAAGGTGTCCCGGTATTATCAAAGTTTCGTCGAGAACGGGAGTAAGAGAGAGGGGACGAAAAGGTGTACGATAACGAAGCTTTTAACAACAGGAGCGCCGCTGAAAGGTCATCAGGGCCATCCCAGTTTAAGCCAATTTTGACCATTAGCCCCGATCCAATTTTAGTTTTGCCATCATGGCGGCCTACTGTCTGACCAATCGCGGTTGTTCATCGCTCGGCTACCACCGCTTTTACGCGGAGTTCGTAAATTACTTTTACTACGCGACTGAAAGAGACTTTAACTCTTGTCCGACGGGAAACGTTTCTTTCCCCATTTTTTTTTTTCGGGAGACCTGTTCGTTATACAGTTTCGGGAAAACAATACGGAGTGTCGTTACGCGTGCACGCATGGAGGAGCTGAATTGCTTTACACTAGCTAGAGAATTATTTTGCAATTCTATTTTACAATCGAGAAGGGATCCGGCCGTCATTTTGATCGGTGGGAACGAGCAAAGTCAAATTAATTTAACAGGGTATACGAAATTGAAAGGACTGTCTCAATTTGTGTAACGCGAAGAAATAAAATAAATATAATAAAAATGTAATTAACAAAGTATCAATTACTTTTAGTTTTACATGAATTAAATCAATTATTTCTACATAATCCAAATCGATGGACGCATCTAATAATTATTTACGTTACAACGCTCGTGATACTCTCGTTTCTCCTCCCTTCTCCAAGTGAAAGAAATATGTTTCCCCGCAAAATGATCAGAGTATGATCAAACGTACGTTTCAAATGAACGATTCTGTGTCCTCCCCATTTTTCACCACCGCCAAGATAATTACACGCAACGGGGGACGTGCGTATTATGAAACTGAGAAATAATGAAACGTGTCCTTTCAATGGATACTCTTCCTATTGTATCTTTGATGATGCCTCCATAATCGGCCAGCGATTGACTGAAAAGTAGTAATCGCGCCGGTTGCCAGTGAATAACCGAAGGAGAATGCGAACGAATGTAACCGTCCAATTATCTGTGACCATATTCACGTATTCATTCCGGATACGATTAATCAAAGCAGCCTTTGTCAGCCTCCTTTTTGTTTCGGTTCCCTGCGATGCAAAAAAAAAAAAAAAATAAGGCATCTCGATTTCGTGCCGGTCGAGCCACATTCGAACGAGTACTCGCGTTCAGCGCGAAATTTATGTGCGTGAGATTTAAAGTGTTGGAATAAATTTTCGCCATTCTAACGCGACGGCTGAACGTTTACGGGAAGCTGGAAGTGAAGTACTCGATCGCGATGAGCAACAAGTACGATCGTATAAATTGTTTTCTTATTGGGTTTACGAAAAGAAGATATCAATGAAGTTGTGTGAATATGAGTACTTGTGGTGTTTTTAACCGTTTGAGTACAGGGATCATTGGAAAAACATGGTCGAAAAACGCCGAACAGCTCGAAAGCGCTTGTCTTTATCGATCGCGAAGAAGCCTAAGCGACGCGATAGAAAGAACATATTTAATACGAAATGTTTTAATTGCATTATGTACATTTAACAAATTTTTAAAAAGAGCTATGTGATGTGAAGCGCGCCAGTAAAGTTGAGCGCGCTACTTCGACAGCCAGTGACTGTACTGTCAGTTATCCATAGGGTTCGAAATGTACTGGGGCTTTTCGACCGCTTGGGGCTCAAACGGTTAAAGAGAAGTACTTATGTCGCTGTCGTTTACAATTTTTGAGGAAGCAATTGAAAGTGATTCGAGAGATACTTCATCGAAACTGGATCCGATTCGACAACGGTCGTCCTACCTTTCGATGACTCGGTAGGTCCGTCTACCCGTTCAATGATCTTTCGTACCTGTCATTCGGGCCGGTTGGTGGAAATGACACACTTACCGAAGCATTTGCTCTGGTTGGTGGCCCGGTCGATGAAAACCTTGGAGGATATGACGTTGCCAAAAGGGAGGAACATCTGCATTAGCTCGGTGTCTCCGAACTCTTGTGGCAGGTGATAGATAAACAGGTTGCAGCCTTCAGGTCCTGAGATAGAGCATCCTACCATATAAATCAGAGCACATCTAAACAGCTAAACTTGAAGTATAATACTCAAGTTAGAATGTTAGTTCTGGATGAGTTTCGTCCTTTGCGAATAATAATGATTCTCGACGCGATAGGAGAGCCAACTCGCGCCAGCGAGTCTGCACATTTTGATCTCTCTCCCCGTTTCATTCCGGTTCTCGTTTGAATGCGTTTCTATTTCACTTTTTCTTTTTTATGAATGAAGATGAAGATTTCGTGATCGTTTTTCGATGACAATCTGATTTCTCTCTCGTCGCAATGGAAATCATAAGGGATGACAGCAGACGGTGTTCGAATGAATCGCATGATGGGTGACTCGGGGGAGGGGGGAGAGGAGGGGGAGAGGAGGAGGAGGAGGAGGAGAATGTTGAACTAAATGCGGGCGTAATGAGATTTAGATGCTCGAAGGGAAGTGGGGAGGTGGCTGAGAGGGAAATGAAAAAGAGAGACAAGTGGGGAAATGGAAACGGACGGGAGAGCGAAGATAAAGAGAGAATTAGGGGAGAGTTAAACAAAGAATAGGTCCGGTGGGAGAAAGAGGTGCGAGACTGCCGACGAAGAGAGTAATGATTAGAGTGTCACGACGATGTCCGTCACGACAATGAAATTTTCCGCGGTTCAAATAACGTTGAGTATTTATACTTTCAAATATACAAACACACAACACTGGGACTTACAACACAATGGCGAGCGAGGGTAAGGGGGGGTGGGGGGTTAAGAGGGTTGTCGAATGAATGCAAATGGATATGAAGAGTACAGTGATGGCGGTGATGATACTGATTACGATAGTGCGACACTTTACATGAGTTCGTCGTCAGACATATTAATCCGTCGTCTTATCACTAGATGACTTAGTACTACGGTTTGGTGAGTTGCATGATAATGAACGTGACTTTCCGTGGAAATCCGTCCTTCTATCGAATGAACACTGTTCTCTGTACGTAGACGCGAACATGTTAAATGAATTTTAGCGGTTATGCGGTTTGGCACGTGAACGAATTCACGTTTTCATATCATTGTATTGACCATAGATAACTGTTTAATTCTGCCTTTTCTATTTTTATTATGATTCTTTGTATTTACGATAAAAAAAAAATCAGTATAATGTACTCTGTACGAAAATAAAAAATCGTCGAGCAAGTCACCCTGTGTTTCTTAACAAAAAGTTTCGGCAGCGTCCCTTTCGGGTCATGTTCGGAGCAATGAAACCGAGGGAAATAAGTTTTCCCCGTTTAATTAATGGAGGAAATCGGCGAGAGTCATCAAGTTTCACGAAAGTTTGAAACGAAACGCAATTCCTACTTGGGTTTAATTACGCAGCTTTCGTCGGACAACGAAAAATTCTTTCTCCTCGCTTTATGTCAGCCGCGAAAGGCACGAAGACACCGACGATTAATACGTCCGCTGAGAAAAGTCCAACGGGAAGAAGCAAAGCGAAGAGTCGGAATAACGAGAGTCCAAATAAGGATTTAGCTAATTTCACTGAACTTTATAACTCCGGCGTCAATTAGCGGCGATTATGACCGTGGAAACTTCTGCTCTCTTGGCCAGCGCTTCCCGACTAACGGACGCGTTTAAGTAATGAGATGGCTGCCACTCAACTTTTAGGATGCTACTCATCGCGACTCGTTCGTTCCTTGGGCGAGATTCACCCCTCTGTCACTTTATCGCCTCCGCGAACAACCCGTGCCTCGTCGGATTATCGTTGAATCGTAATTGTCCGTTTCCAGTTTCCGCGAACGATTCCGATCTTTGATAGAATTTGGCACGGGAGCTCGCAGAGGAAGAATAAAAATCAGTGGTATCGTTAAGATTCTTTATCGACGTGCTTTGAATTATATGCTTAGATAAAATAAAAATTGTGGGTACTTCAAAGTCTGATAGTTCATTGAAATAGAATGCCGAACAAAATGATATTTAAAGGAAATGAAATCTTGGGCAAGGGAAACATATTCTGTGCGATTAGAATGGGAGAATATTAACCCATTTACTGGCAGCCAAAATTATTTAAAGCGTTTCGCCTTGGTCGCCCAGATTTAATACAGATGTGTAATCTACGTTATTATTTTGATAATAAAAAGTGGTATTAAATTTTTATTGTTCTAAAAAGAATATTTACGATCTTTTTTTGCAATAATTCGTGGCTCAAATTTTGCAGTTGAAATAACAAAATCCTTAAAATAACGTAAGACTTACAAAGGACTGGTCCACGACTATAATAAATAACTCGCAGAGGGTGATATCTTTATCAGAGTCGAAGGGGAAATAAAAACGTAGCACGGTGTTTTCAATGTTCGGACAAGGTAACAAAACATGTCTCACGGTTTACACAAAGAGTAACAAATGTTCTCTCTTCCGTGAGTAGCGACTTCGTCTTGGTAATAACTCGATCGTAGTTGTCACGTGAAACCTAAATTAGAGCTGGTGTCGGCGGGTTTCCGGTTTCGACGTGGGGTAGAGAATGGAGGAGGAATTGCGGTGGACGCTGGAATCACGAAGAACGTGCCATAAATTCAACTACGTCGTCGTGCCGTGCGATCGTTGATCCTGAAATTGGTTTTCGACTCTCTAATTGGCCCACGCGCGGGACGTGCACGCGAATTTAATGAAAGCAACATCACCCCCCTCCTTTGAATTTGCGGGGAAAGTATCAACGACCAGACAAACCGTTAAGTTGCGAATCCGCTGAAGCTAGCGTTTAATTGTTCGACTATTCCCTTCTTGAAAAATTTCCTTAACTGTTCCGTAAAGATTTCTTTATCCGAGTAATTCGAGCTTTGGATTAGACGCATTCGCTAAGCTCCTATTGCAACAATTTAACTGAAATTTATTTTGGAATTCTTGAAAGTGATTTAATATAATTTTTGCAAGTGTTACGGGGTGCGGCGAAAATTCTATTTGTTTTCTTAATCATTGCAATTTCAATCGTTTTTTAAATATTTTTGTTTATTTTGTAATGGAGGCTTCAACATTGGTATGAAGCAAAATGTCAAACTGTCTTTTATTTAATCAAATTTTGAATGGGAAGAGAAACAATAAAATTGTGTAAGATCTTCTGTAATACGTAATTGGTACCATTTTTAAAAAATCTCAGGTACAAAATAAATAAAAATTACCGCACTCTATACACTTGCAAACTCATTTGCATCGTTTCTCTTACTCGAATGAATAATTTTCTGAAAAAAACATACTCGAAGAATGTCAGATATTGAAAACAGATAAAACGGAAACACTCAATTCTCGTTAAAAAACACATCCGCTGCTAAGCCAGTACTACTTGAATTAAAACACAAGGCGGAGCGAAATACGTGTTGCTACTAAAAACAGGCGATTCCTCTTTTAAAAGAAAATCGAAAATTTACATCTTTTTTACTTCCTCTCTTAATTTTCGAGAAAATCAATTTGGCTATTTTACCAAGTACAAAGTCTGTCGATTTACTTTTCCTTGCGAGGAATCGTTCCCTTTTCAGTTGCACCATTACGCTCGTTCTTCTGTGCGTCGATTAAGAGATAAACAATATACATACATTTTTCGTTGCAAATAGACCATTCTATACGTTAATCACGTGATCGACCGTCGCATATAAACAACGATCAATTGCTGTTCAACAGCGCAACACCGAACATAGCCAAAGAAATTCACACCGAGTTAGTGCAACGTCGAAACACCAAATGTATATAACCCATCCAAAGAACAAAAGTAGAGAGTTTCCGTGAGATGTTTGAGAATGTTGTGGCGAAAGGACTGATGAAGTAAAGGGGTAGGGTTTGACACACGAACACCGAGAACACCTTGTAAGACGTATAAAAAACATTGAAACAGTTTAGATAAGCAAAAATATGATCGACGAAGCGACAGTAAATATAAAATCGATAACGATGTCATGCAATGATGACAGAGTAGACCATTTTATTTTTCCTGGCTTCGTCGCCGCCCCGTCTTCTTTCAGGTTACGGTGACGTCGTTCGTTTTACGGTTTCGAACATCGAGCAGCGTTCCTTCGAAAGCCTGGGACGTTCGGTATATGTCCGAAAGCGGACTCCTTGGACGAGGAATCGTATATGAAAGTTTTGTGCGTGTCGTTAGTGGTGATTTCGGTAAGACACGTTCGCTGCGGTGGATATCTTAAGATATTCTTAACATCTTTAGATAACTGGCCAGAGTGACTTCACCTACGACTAGGTAGAAATTGTGTTCAGAGCTTGCGATTCAAAGCATTTTTGTTGAACATTATCTCGATTCAAGTAAATATTTACTTCATCCACAACTTTGAGGATAGTTTCCATCCCTCGAATACGAATAGTCTATGAGAAAATGGTGTCAATACTTTTTTAAAGTCTGTTTATCGAAATTGAAGTAAGACAAATAATGCAAGGACTTCGCTCATTAAAAATCTACGAATACAAGGAAACTTTTTTCTTTGAAACGCGATGTAGAGTATGTAAATTGATGCCAGGGGTGAAATAATAAAGCCTCCCTTTCACTGGAAACAGGAGATTATGATTCTTCCCGTAGCGAACGTGTCGAGAGCAAGATATACTCGTCGATGCGCGCAAACACACATAGAGCAAAAAAATGGCACCGACGAGATATCGTGTGTTCGAAGGGATAGGCGAAAAATTGCATCGGGAGAGGGTGGATAGGAGGGATGCTGGGAAAACCTGAATGGGGAAAGGGGAAGGGAAACGCTATCGCGGTAAACTTCTCATTATCCTGCAATGTAACAACGGATCGCCGACAGGCATAGTGGCAAAGTAATTAAAAGTTTCTTTTTATTTGCATTATCTCATTGTTAGGCGTCGTACATTCTAATAATGGCGAGTTGTTAATTGCAATTAAACGTTGCTCCGGCTCGCCCATCCCCCTCCCCCTCCTCCCCCCCCCCTTGCCGCGGTCTTGTCCGCCATCTTCTACCCCCAGTCCGCGCCTTTTCGTTCGCAAGGATAACATCCAAGAACAGTTTGTTCTCTGACCCGTATTCGTCGAGACGATATCGGTTCCGATTTATCTTACACTTTCAATTCGAGCCAATCGGATTAATTAACCGTACCCCACCTCACCCCTGACCTCTGCTTCGACTACGTAAGTTCGATCGAACACCCAAGGTACACTCTCTGTCCAAACGATTCTGTAAATACTGCCACGGATCAGCTGGCCCGGATCTCACACTTTCAAGGGAATCTAATTCACACGATAAAGCTAGTTAAGGAATTTTCACGTTTTACTTTCGCGAAATACGTATTTAAATCTTGAAAAAAAAAACTTTTAAATTTTGCCTACGATAACTGCGAGTACCACCCCCTCAATAATAAATTTCAATTGAACGTTTTACTGTAAGGCTAGTTCGCATTTTCTTGCTTCAAGATTGTCAATGAAAATTTAGTAATAGAGTCTCAGCCTGTTCGTCGAACGTCAATTCCAATTTGGTGTAATTCGATTAAATCTTGGCTTCGGTTCTGCGACATTGTGCGCCCTCCTACGTTACACCCCCTCGTATTGTTGGTCGTGTAAATTTGTTAACGAGCCGGCAGCTCATTTTTTCCCCGTGTATCCATTACACCGAACCCGAAACGTTGTGAGTTAATTCCTTCGTTATCGCGGCGGTAATTAACTGGCGAATATATTGCGAGGGAAAAGGCCTGTTTTGTGCCGGTTTCACGACGTAGAAACTCGGCGTTATTCGCGATATTGGAAAGGTAAAATATCCCGTTCATCAACGCTTGTAGGTCATTCTTCCCTTTTTTCCCTTGCCATGATTAAACTACAAAAAAAAGACGGTAACCGTACGTGGTCGAATTAAAAGAGACCCGTCGAGCGTGTTCTAGCGGGTTGGTAAAAAGAATTTCTCGTCGTGACTCGGCTTATTCTTTGCGTCAGATTTATGCTTTGTCCGTTTTCGATTTTTCCTCCATTAATTGTATTAAACGTAACGTAATTCGTCCGAAAAAATTCATGAAAATCGTTAAATTCTGCCGCTTTTGCGGCTCTGAGCGACTCTGTAACACATTCAGGACGGCGTGATTTATGGACCACTGTATGATGGCCAAATCAACTGACCTAACCCATCACCGTCATATATTTCCTTCCAACATAGTAACCCACGTGATATGACTTATTTTGTTGACATAGGACGTCACAGTAAATCAGAATGCCTTTATGATTGCATTCTATCGAGTAAAAGTGTCTTCTTCTGTTTCGTATAGAAACAAAAAGTAAAGGAAACAGCCACTCTGGCCATCTCTGCCACCCTGAATGCGTTCAGACCGACCTGAACCGTCTATTTCGCCAATCATGGCTGTTTTCGTGGTAACGGATGTTCCAGGCAGCGTACAGAGATTAGTGTTGAACACCTTGCGACGTAACGACGAGGGATCATTCGTGTCTGGACGTTTGGGACTTGGATCTACAATCTCGGGACTGCAATCGTTCGTGTTTACAGTCAACAGTTAGACGTTGATGAGTGTATCGTACTTACCTTCCCTCTGCGTGTGTGCCACGGCAGTCATCGGCTGTGGAATAGCTTGAGGAAACTGGCTGTAGACGGCGGGATAAGCTGCGACAATAACAAATAACAGATACATCATGATGTGTCCACATCTAAACACGGAGTACATGCTGTCCACTTTTTTTGTTCCTATCTTGGTTTCGTAAGACACAGCTTCTCATTGGTTTCAGTGCTTTCGTCTACATAGGGACAACCGTATTAGGTTACATTTACAGATGGAGGTTTATGCTCGTTCTGATCGGAGGAAATGAAGCTTGACGAAACCTTTCTTGATCAGCTTGTCAATTATTTTTAGATCTGAAGGTATAATTTAGTAGGCGATATTAGAAATTAATTTGGAAAGGATTAGTTCTTGTATTAAAGGTTTCTTGACAGGCGAGATTTTTATTTAGAACATTACTTAGAAGTAAATTATTGTAGTCTACCAAGAAACCTGAAACTCGTGTTTTTCTACCACCTCGACGAGATAGAAGGGTATCCACTGTTTCTGGAACCGGCGCAGAGGAATTTATTCGATGTGTATCCTCTGTGTTGACAACAGGGTAATGATTCGATAATTCGACGACGCGACGGCACGAGTGTAACAAGCATCGATGTTAATAAAAGGTAAATTATTCGGTTAACGTCAATCGAGTTAATGCGAAGTTGCGCTGTCATCGACGAGCCCGGGAAATAATTTCGGCTGGATAATTTGTAATTGCGGTTAATGAACGTAATGGACGATCGGAACGAGACTTCTTTTCCTCGTGAAAAAGAGGAAAGGGTGGGAAAATGGAACGTTTGTTCAACGGTACGAGTCTCTCGTGCGCGATATTTTTATAAACGCGGGTCGTCCCGTCGAATTAACAAGAAGAGCTTTGGTCGACGGACGAGCTCAAAAGCAAACGAAAACCGAGTCGCCAGAGGAAGGAAATCCATTTCCCGAGGCTTCCAGCCGCGCTCGCCGCGGCATTTCTCTCGACAAGGGTATTTAACTCTCAACGTTCTCATCGTTCCACGATTTTTAACGCGATACTTTTGTACTTTGCAGCGGCGCTACCTTTGCCGTAACCGTTGACATTAACCGACACGCGATATCGCTGCGAAATCGCCGGACAAGCTGCGTTTCCGCGTTATAAACCAGACGCGTCGCCACTGTCAAAGCTGCCTAGGTGTGCGCGCACGGAATGACCTGAACGGACTAGTGTTGGCGATTCTGTGCGAAGAATTGCGTCGAGAATGTAGGATAACATTTTTTACTACCAGTGGAAGCTTCGTTTTCGAGGGGATCGAATTTGGAATTTAAATGCACATACTTCGAACAATATTTCTGACCGATTTACATTAACAAATGTTGAGGCAATCTATTAAATTGAGAATATGTTGGACTAAAATTGCTCGAATGTACCAAAGAATTACTATGTCGTCTGAAAACTATTTGAAAACTCCTAATTGAATAATGATTGCAAAAAAACTTCGCGACGAATCGATACGAAATATTCGCCGAATTTCGCTGAATTCATTTTACAAAATGAAATCTTTCCGTCGAAAACGTGTAAATGGACTCCCTTATCGGTCGACGTCAGTGGGAAGCAATTATAACGACATTAATTATGTCTTGGTAAATATTTAAAACGCGCGCGCGATTGATATTTGTTTGCTACGGATAAACGCACATTGGGGCGCGCGAGGAACGCCAGGGTTGGGAGGTGGATCGAATATATATTCGCTCTCAGATAGGAAGAGATAAATTTTCGCTTGGAAATTAATTATTTTCGTTCAAACATCGCTTTAATATATTCCGATTGACGTTACCAGAGGTTTCGCTCCACCGGCGGACCGACACGATTGGCGTATGAAATAAATACACCATCATACGTCGGTTACCATTCGACCGGATGGAGGGACGAGAGGTATTTCGGACTGCTTTTTTTTCTACTCGCTGATCTCCACGGGACTGTGTACACTGGACGAAAATACACAGAAAAAGAATATCCTATTTTTGAGTCTTCGGCAAACACGGCAGGCCGAGCGCCGCCGCGCCAGTCGTACGTTGTGTATCTCAATTTTGATGAATTCCTACCAATTCCTACGCGCAGACGGGAAGATACACACGTAGGCGAAAAAACAAAAATGAAACCGCTGGAAAAAGTTGGGGAGGGGTTTCGAGACAGTGCAAATATAACGGCCACGCGGGTGCGAAAATAATTATTATCCGGAAAAGTGCTCGACATGTTCGATGCCTATAATGAAACGCAGTCGCGGAACTTTTGAAAACGCGATTCGAACGGGTCCCGTCATTAATTTAATCAGCGGTAGACGGAATTTATCCAGACCTGGTCCCCGTTAATTGCTAACGGCGAGTTGAGCGAAACGAAGTATGGTTACGTCGGAACGCTGATTATCTCTGAAACGGGAACGTCCATTTTGGAACGCTGATTATTGGATTATAATTTCTGCCGTCGCACTTTGATGTAACCATCGTTCTAGCCATCGACAGCCTGGTCAACTCCGCGTCGAGACTTGTTGTTTACGTATTAGTGAACATGCACGACATACAATATAAATATGTATTTATATATATTTATATATATAATATGTATAAATATATATTTAGAGGTTACAATACACAATGTACACGACGCATATTTAAAGGAACATCGAAGTACACTGCAACAGCACACCAGAAGCATTATACACAACACGTTGACGCGGCACGTCTATTATATATTTATCTATACAGGTTGGTTCGTTATCGAATGAAACAGATGGGAAGTGGGCGATTCTTCGTGGAGAGAAATTGAAAGGAATCGAAGCTTTTGTAAATCCGTGCTCGAGAAAAGCGATTCTGAAATTTTTAGTTGGGATACTGTTATTTGGGATAACCAATTGTGTGCGTAGAGGCTCTAATGCCTCGTGAACGCATGTGGCATCTATATAATAGAAATAGACTTAGGCTTGGAAAGCCTACCTCTCAGAATTACTAAAATTCTGAATAGAAATTTATAATGTTTCCAAGTACACAGCTATGTAGTTAAAAAGTTGACAGATGTCGCGAGTCAATATAAGATTGTATTCAACTAAAGAGATTACGTTTGGAAATAATGTCTATACGAGGACTGTATTTACTTTCGAATTTATTCTAGACTTAGTCGTTGTTTTTCACGAAAAATCACCTACGTTCCTCCCTTAACGAAACACCCTGTACACGTCACAGTGTACATACACATACAAATACTCATAGTGACGACGGAAAGATATATATGTATACTTATGTATATACACGTGTCTGTATATATGTATTTATATACATCGGTATACGTGTATAAATGTACACATGCGGCCATAGTTGCATGCAGCAGCCAGAAACGCGAACAACGAAATCGAATTTTTTTTTTCGAGAGTTATGCGCTCGAGTGCTCGGATAAAAGGTTACTATAATCGACCGGTTTATATGGTTTCCCCATGGACTCGACTTTTAAAAATCGTGCTCCAAATGTAACAGTGAATAGGGAGTGTCGTGTTTTTGATTTATTTAAATTTATTTACTCGTTCCACTTTCGGTGATAATTTACCCCGCTAACAATTTGAAAAATACGATCGACAACGATCCCGCGGGGATTCCCAACGATGCCTCCGATCTCCGACCGAATGTGTCCCGAGCCACGTGATGGAAACGCGTTACGCGGGAAAATCGAACGGCCGTATAATCGAAAGGTAAATAAATAGGGCATACGTAATAACAATTTTCCAACGATAGCGTGATCGAATGATAACACTGTAATTCCGAATGAATTCTCCGACCGAAACTCGTTACGGAATCCCATATGTCGTTCCTCGGGAGGCCCGGTTCGAGATTTACGCGATTATCGAGGAGCACCATATAAAATGCGCTCGCTAAAGTCTCGTGAAAACTCGCTGCCAGATACGAGGGCTCGACGGAATCCTCGATAAAAACGGAGGGGAAAAGGTAAATGGAGAAGAAAAAACTTACCGACACCGGTGTAGGGTTGCATTCCTGGATACGCGGCGGCATGCTGGAGTGCCGCCTCCCCATTGGCCAGCCCTTGTGCTGGAATGGACAGATGGAGGGCATCTACGCTTCAGTAAGCTCAGCTCTTATCGGGGACGGACCTACGTCTAAGGCCCCTGTCGCAATGCCGGCCAATCGATATCGATTGCTGTACACGTGTACCCTTGGCTATCTCGGAGATGTAAGGGTAGTTTGCGAGATTATCGCGAGATCTAGATCGCGGTAGTTCGCAAGCTTTTGTGGATCGTCTCTTTCAAGATTTTCATGCTTCGTTAGTATAGTTAGAACTTGATAATTCAATATTTTCAATGGAAACAAAATTTACGGTGCAGTATTTGACCAGTCAGCTGTGTTTGACGAATATACTCGTCATGGAGAAGTGACAGTATTTTGTGTCCAGACGACTATATTCGCCTATAGATGTATACGTAGTCATTGCTTGATGCTTACAACACACATGGGTGCGTACTCTGAAAATAGGACGCCACAGCTGATTGATTAATAACAACCGAAAAACCACCCCCAAAGACAGCATCCAACAATATCGAAGACAAGCATTTAGAAAAGTTTCGATTACATAGTCCGAATCATCCTCGGAAATGACAAAAACGTACGATAAGTGTTCTTTACGTGTTACTCGGATGTCGATACACGACTTCAGCGCAAACTTTAAACAAATTTACTACCAGAAACTCCAAACGGTTTCGAAACGAAAGTTGACCAGAACGGCGCGGAACGCGTCGGCGACACTTTTTGAAAAATTCTGTCGACTTTGAGGTCGGGAGCGAGAAATCGACGTATCGTTGCACAAGTCTGGGGCGAGGTTACTTGGTTATCGTCGGAAACACGGAATAATGTAGTCCCGCGTCGATTGGCCGAGCATTGCGCAGGGGCGGCACACTGCGCCTGAGTTGATACTCACGTCCCGCATAGGTCTGCGCTATCCCGTTGGTGTAGACACCTGCGTCCGCGGTTGCTGGTTGACCGTTAGGTGTTTGTGCAGCCATGTTGAAATTGGGCATCGTTGGCGACGGTAACGACGGTATCGCCCCGTTAACTGGCTGCCCTGTACCGGTACCTACGAGCAAACCTGATCAGTACACACCGGTTACCCTCTTGCTCTTACAACACAGATCTCAGTCACCCTAACCCCGACGCGCGGCATCGGATCAGGAATGCTCACGGCGTCTGTCTAACGTTTAGCTAGTTGTCCTCTCTGTACATCCTGTCAACCGATTTACGGTATATACAGGTATAATTGGTAGAACGTCGGGACGAGTTTGCGTATGATCCGTATGCCTCGCGTCGCGTATCAAGGGTCCACGTGATCTGCGGATTCCCCCGTATGTTGATCCCAAACTTAGGACTAATAACGACTCGTAACGGACGAATGCCGACGCGGTATTAACGATCCGCTCTCACGGGGGAAGATCGACCGACTGTTTTCTTAGGATAATTGGATCCATAGCGGAGTCCGGTGCTATGCCGCTGTCACTTCCGTATGACAATGTGTAGACTTTGTGAATAATTGGAATGTTGCTTGGTTTAGCGTGATATCTTGAGACTAAATTTATCAGAATTGTCGATACTACAAAGTACTTTTTTCATTTCATGAGTCCCTCGGTTTATTAGATTATTTTGATCCAGTACATATTTCACACTGTTTTCGGTATATATTTCATCATTTTATCTGTGATATTTATTCTTTGTTTTGTCTTTGTTATCGACGATAAAATATTTGTTAACCTCATTATCCGCCAATGTCCCATTTTTGGGAGTTCTTCTCGTACATTCCGCCAAAGTCCCAAAAAATGGGACGGGCTTTAATTTTTATATTTAAATAAAAACAATGACAATTATGGCAAAAATAGTTCCAGTTAATTTTTGTTTGTTTGTATTTTTGAATTGCGGCGGGTAATGGGTTAAGGGTTACTTTTAGTAAGAATTAGATATCACTGCCCCCATTTCCCCCATTTCACTGTATCACATGCTCCCTCTTTTCTTTCGCGAGCTCAATCCTCGCTAACCCCCAGGGGTCGGCGGACTTGAGCTCGACAATCACTGGGTTAGTGCGTTTGCATGTACGAAAGATACACGAAGCTTAGGTGTGCGTATCGGCGTGTTATCCCGAGGGGAGAAAAAGGATCGGCCGATCGGATTCCCAGATTCGAACACGAATCTTTCGCTGCTCAAGTTGTCTAAGAATTCTTCTTCCCCAATCCTCGTATCCTGAACAGCTGTCGAATACTTACCACGTGTAAATGTAGGAACCGCAACCGCAACAAAAATGAATCAAAGCGAACCCCGAACTTGTAATTCTACACCAAGCACCAATTCCAATTATCATCGACTCAATGAATCACCGACGCGTCGCGATGCACGAGAGTGTCGAATGATTTCACGCGAATCCTTCGCAGCCCGTTCGAGCGAATCAATCACTTTACACGAGTCAGCGGCGTGCGCGTTTAAAGTCCATAGTTAGAACGACGTCGTTTCACTGGAAATAAAAGCTCGCAAGGTTTGGCAATCTGCGGTACAAGTAGGCAGAGGAAAAAGACTAGGTGGTGGGTGGGGTGGGGTGAGGGGGGAGGGGGGGAAGGAAGGAAGAAATAAAATATTATTTCCCTATCAAACGGTATTACCTTTCGCTCGACGGGACTCGACGTATAACAGAGCGCTCGCGGAGAGCCGATTTCCGTGCTTACTTTGCCTGTCTGCGCGCTGCTTTCGTTCTCTCTTTTTCCACTCTGTGCGCGCGTTCGGGAAACCGTACGACGAGGAGGGTTGCGAAAGTAAACGTGGGCGAAAGAGACGAGACGAACCACCGATTGGAGCGCGGAGCCGTGGGCGAAGAAAGAACGATGCTTTTTGGCTTTGCCTCCTTCCCGTTCGGCGAGTTTTCGATAAAGTTTCGCGGTACTGGCAATATCTTTCGCTCGAGTCACGCTCGGTGAAAATGTTGTATTGATTTACGAGCCGGTTATAAGGCAACGGACTCTACGCTCCTGCTGTCGCGAGATCCCGGAGGAACAAACGGGAGAGCAGCGCAAAAGGGGAGAGTGTGGGAAGATAAAGAAAGAGTTTTGCGTCAGTGAAAAGGAGCAATTGCCTGCCGGAGAGGAGCGTACCACGCGAACGAGTGTGTGTACGTTTCGGCGCTCTCTATGCTTCCGCGACCCTTGCTCGTCGAATGTTTTTTTCCGGAAATCGCCCGTTTCGCTGATTCCTCGTACTTGGATGGACGGGTTGCGCGGGATAGGTGGACTCGTAGTACCGTGGTTTAAAAATTAAGGCATGCATGGGTGCTCGGCTCTCGACGGCGAACGGTGGAGCGAAATTCCCTAAACGTGGCCAGAATGTGTAATTACGACGGAGGGAGATTGAAACTAGATATTCGGATTCTTGTGTGCGTTTATTTGTTTATTTGTGTGTTTGGAAGACGTGATTGTAGATGCTTGATTTTATTTTGTCTGCTTTGAGCGTCGTCGCAATTTTATGCTCAAATAAAGTGGGAGCGCATAGAGTGCGTTCTCTTTCTCTTTCTCGTTAGTTATGTTAAGTATAGATTAAGCAATATTTTCTAATGAGATTGTAAGTGGAAGTGAAAGCTATACAACCCTTAGGAGAGTATTAGAATAAATACATACATACTTAAATAAAATGAATTTTTGCGTGAATAATCAGTGGAATGCACTGTTTGTTAACACCAGATTATAAATTGAATTTTGACCACGTTTTGGGAAAACCGTCCCACTGTGCTCCATTATCGATATCAACATCAGAACGACAGAGAACTTACCGGAAGTCGGTGGTACGACGGGATTTGGCATGCCATTCAACGCGTGCGGCAATTGTCCACCTAACGCCGCCATCGGGTTGATGTACGTCCCTTGTGCCGTCGCAGCAGCCATGAGAACTGCTTGCTGCTATAAGTAGAACTCTTATGTCAAAATCGTTTTCAGGGACACGCGTTTCATGTATGAAATGGTCTTCGTCCTGAATCATTTATCTTTATGCTAAATTTTTATTTTTACTTATTATTGTTTTTAATTATTTTCACTTACATAGCACTTCACCGTAACATTTTTGTACGAATTTCTTTTTTGAGTGAAACGATTTTAAAAATCTACGCGTTCGAGTATGCCTTCGTTATCGTGATTGTTTATTAGTCATTATTATTGCTTGTGTCTATGATTCTAATAATCGTATGATATTGTCCGTTTTTGTACTTTTTTCTAACATTTTAACAAGTTCATACCAATTAACAATAGCGGAAAAAGCCAGTAATGGTCAGACACGTTACGCAAGTCGTACTCAATTCAAACTAGAATCCTTAGAGAACGAAGCCTCGCACTATGTTTTTAATATGTTTTTCCATGAAGAATTATATTCTGTTCATCGTTATTCTGCAAGACTTTATATAAGTGCAAAATTTAAAAATATATTTTAATAAAATACTAAAATAGTTAGTTTCTTCGTTGACTTTAAAATTAAATCTCAATTTTAGGAAATATTGATAGCAATTCAAACGTGTACACTAATTCCTGTGATAATACTTTCTGAAATGCTATATCGGAGCTATTTCGAGAGCAAAATCTCGTTGGTAAGATCGAGTTATTGCTGCGCCGAGTTAACGGAGCACTGTCGAACATCGTTGATCGTTCCTAACAAGACAGAAACCGTTACAGGCTGTGATTCGTGATAACGAGGACAACCAGACGATAATGTGGTAACGCGAGACCCATTAACAGCAATGTGACTCACCTGAGCATAAGCGCTGTAAGCGCCGAACTGATTGAACATGAAAGGGTTAATGAGACTCATGTTCCCGGCCATTTGCTGCATGCGTCTTATTTGCCTCTCTTTCTCAGTATCTGCGAATTTTACCACTAAGCTGGATGATGCACCCTGAAACACACGTTAATCGCCATTTTGTAGACCCCTTTCAGTATTTTACTTAAGTATCATAGTATGTTAAATATCTTTGCATTAGGAAGTTGTTAGATTTAGTTAAGGTTCGTTCTTCACCAAAGGTTTCCAAATGTTTATCTATATTTTTCTACGCTATATAGTAACTTTCACACCCCATTCTCTTGCATTACAATGCCACCCCTTCCACTGGAGTTGAGGTTTCGGGGTTACAGTTCAAGGAAATCGGTCAACCACGTGTACCGGGTCTCCCTATGTATATATCCAAATATATGTAGAATATAAATTACACAAAATCGTAACGCTCTTCAATCTTTTAAAAATGGTTCGTACGATGACAGTATTGCCTAATCGAGCAGTCACGCGAACCGTGATAGATGTATCGCGGGGGTGAGGCCCACCTGAAGGTGTCGCCCCCGCGATTTATCGTATCAAGATTAAGTTGCGCACAATGTAAATTGCCATTCTATAACAAGCCAGTCTAAAATGCGGGATCAGATACTCCTGTCTGACGTCCCGGTTCGTAATTTCCAAGAGACGTAGCGGAGCTGTTACAATGGGATTATCGTAGGGGCGACGCAAAGCTGCATAATTTTCTGGAATCTCGCGTTTTCTCTGGCCGCGTGCGCCAGCGCGTTTCTCGTCCTTTGGAAATTCACATGCAAGCGGGGAATTTGATAATAATGCCGCTTCGGCGACGGACGTAATTACCAAAGAAGCTCAGGACCTTCTTTCCCCATTACTCGCAGGAAATCAATCCCTTCACCACCCCCACTCCGCGCCTCACTTATTTTCACTTAACGCGTGTACCAATTACGCGTTAATTTCTCCAATTTTCGTGGCAGATGCAATTACCAACAAGATATTACTATCGAATCAGAATGTGAAGACGAACGATGTTTCGGGAGGTTATCAGTGAGGAATATTTTCAATATTAGGGTGCCATTTTATCTCTTTGACCATAATTTTATTTTTTGGGGGTGGCTAGAAGGCAGGAAAACGTTCTTTACGTGCTCCCAATAAACTAGAGCTCAGCGATTATATTTTAACTAAACAAATTTAATGTTTTAGAGAATTTTAGTAAATATGATAATATTTATTGGCTTATTTTCTGAAGTAAGAATGAAATTAGAATAGATATTTTTACTGTTGATAATTAATTCAGTTACAACGTGTCACTGATGAATGAAGGGTTGCTGATAATGGAAGGAAATTTAGCACGTGTTTTTCACCTTGAAAAGACATCCCTCTTTGAGACGTTTACGGAGATATGTAAGGCGATGACGCTCTCAGCACATCTAAAATATAAATGAAAAGGCAACAGGTGGCCAGTGGCTATTGCGGCTACGGAGAAAAGCTCAGCTTTTGAGCGTCTGGCGTTATATTATCCTCACGTCATCAATGCAAATGCCGAGCGTGTCTGAGTTTATATAACGACGGTAATATTGTAATCCGTTGACAGGCTCATTGAAATTCATGCTTCTTGTCGCACGATTTTCTTTACCACGTCTACTTTATAACGCATTTACTGTGCTTCTCGTGACATTCATTGTTTCCCTTATTAACCCCTGTTTCTTACATAGAAAGTAACTCTTACTTCGTTAATGATTACTCAGTTACATAAAAATTGCGTAATTGTGTATAAAAAAATGTCTGCCAATGTAGTTTTTAATGAAGGGTTTATGAACAGGGTGGTGGAATAAAAATGTATTTTTCTTTAAAACCTTTATTCGGTTATTTCTAAATTCTTTTAATTACGCAAACGTAATTTAAAAATGTTATATATTCTAGAAGAACACTCTGTGTTTGAAAAATAGATTGTTCGAATAGTAGAACAACCACATGATATAATTCTATCATATTACACGATTTCAGTCAACAATTCGCTCGTTGCCACTAATCCACCATTTGAATCCAGTTTGCGTAATTTTCTATGCGTCGATATCGTAAACATTTTGGGAAATAATACACAATCGATAGTCTTTATAGTGGAACATGATTATTAATATGATTATCGCGGGTAGTGACGCAGCAATGAATGTAAATGTTATAATTACGAATGCAAATGGCAACGGGTCAACAGTATTTACGTGTTCATTACTCAGAAGTGTGTAAACGTATAATTAATAACGAAGCCCTTCACCGTTTGTTTGTTACTTTGGCCATTACAACATTTCTAAAGTAAAAAGTACGGACTAACGATTGGCATGTTGTTAAAATTAATTTGAGGCAAAGCTCGTTGCTTTTTTGAACTCTATACTCTACGCCAGTAATGGAATTCTTTTCACGAGCATGAAGTGAAATATTTGGAAAATTTGAGAATAATTTAACGTGGAAAAAAATGGTTTATATTTGTAAATACTGGTGTACAATATTTCTTTGAAATCACGTCATGGTTTGGGAGTATCCTAAAAATTTCGAAATAGTTTATAGCGTTTGCCAACAAGCTGCATAATATCATAGAGCAAGTATTAAACTAAAGTTTCCAAATTGCCAAACAGTCTGTGAATGTTATGGAAAATATTTTGAAGATCGTTTATTTCCCAATAGATGGAAATAAATCAAACAAAAAACGGTAAACCTCCCAACATCGACTGAATTTATTCATACATTAGTCCATCAATGCGGAGCGTGATATCAATAAAGTTTCGATGGTAAACTCGAGAAGAAGCGATTTCGCAATAGCGTAAATTTCACGCCACAGATATTGAACCGTGTTATTCCATTTAAAATTGCATTCGAACACGTTTTTGTATTCGAGAGATGCATGTAATGCTTTCAAAGACGAGCGTCGAATATTGAATAGAAAAGGATTATCCATAGAGTTGGTTGTGTCGAACGAGCGTGTATTATAACCAGGGACGATTTTGCAACGGTCGTCATCGATACCGGATTACATCCACGGTTATTGTGCTGTTCGTTGTAAAAAGCGTTTTTGTCATTATTGCGTAACCATTTCGGACCCGGCGTCAAAGGTACAGCCGCTGCACCACGCGAAATCGGAATTTATAAAACTTTTTATGAGCGTTTTCTTTAAATCCCTCGCGCGGTATCGCCAGATAACTGACAGAACGAGCTCGCTATAAAAGTTTATAGATTTGATAGAACCAAGTACATTCGGTCGTGGAGAATTGAATATTTTGTTATACTTTTCAGCTGCATGGTTTCATACATCACTACTTCGCTGTCATCAATTGGAAGTGAAACAAGGTACATTACTTTTTTTTTAGAAGTATGACTCGTTCCGTTTGCTCTACTTGTGATATAGTTAAAGGTTGCATAGGAAATATATTACAGTTTAGGAAAAACTTGTACACCCATTCTACCAATTAGAACGTAAGAAAGAAACTATGAAAATATCGATAAACTTACACAAGGAGATTTATTCTGCGACCGATAAAAATAATTTCCGATCCCGAAAGGTTGAAGTAAAGCAAATTGGTAATCGCTCGTAAAAACGAAACGATTGGACACGCATCTTTTTTTTTTTTTACCTCTCGTTACATTATTTATACTTCCATATTACCGGGTATTATCCGACGGAGTTTTTTGTCGATAACGGTTCGTCCAGCATAACAACGGTCGAGTAGAAATGGGTCGAGATAAAAAATATTAACGCCCCGATAGCTTGGAATTCATGGGAAACATAAAAAGCTTTTCCCATCGGTGTCGATGCGTGACATTTTCATTAGCATTTTATGCGAAGCACCACTTTGCTCTCGGTCACGCGTGTGAGCGTCGAATACAATCGGTGTGGCACCGCAAATTCCACGGAGAAAAGGCTTTCCCACGTAAAGGAGGGGCGGGCGGGCTCGGGGAGGGGGGGGGGGACGGTTGAGCTGACGATTATTAAAAGTTTCGTTTACAGCCAAGCTCGAATATGGCCGAACGCGCGAATAACCGCCACCGGGAAACCAGCATCCAGCCACAGTTTACAAGACATAAAAGTTATGCAGCTTTCATGGCCGAATTCAACTTTCCGCGTTAAGGTAACTAATATCAAGAGTGCCCGCGAAACTCATACGTGCTCGAGAAAGTATTCGCAGGCCGGGATATCTTCAAGTTTGACACCGTAGTTAAGAAAATACAATATCAAGCAATTGGACCAAACAGGAATTCTTTCCCGTGGTATTTGATTATTTGGCAGTGGAATTTGGTTGGAGAGTAATAATAAGTGAAATGAGACGTAAAATAATTAACGATACACTGGATACTTGAATGAGCGACGAGTACTACGAGTCCATTTTTCTTTGTTTCGACACTGCCTTCATAAAGCGAGAGACTCCAGACGCTTATCACCGCATTATTCATGACAGACCAGAAGTGTTGCCGACGAAATCATTGAGCAAGAAAATTTTTCAGTCGCCCCCTCCCTGGGTTCGTTACGTCGCTTTTTCACCAAGAACTGCGGAAGGAGGCGTCGCACGACGACGCCGACGTCGAGGTCATTGGCGACCGGGAAAATTCGCGCGGCAAAAATATTCAGGGGCGCTCTTTCGTAAAGCTAGGAAAAATATCGACAGGCTGGAGAACGACCGTGAAAGAGGAAGGGATGGAGCGGCGAGGCGTGGCGGGGTGTACGTTTTGTATTCTCTCTACGAGGAGAACCGCTCGAACAACTCGTTATACGCGGTGAAAAGCATCGACGCGTGTTGTTGAGGAAAATAATTTGTCTCTCGTCGACAGCATCGACGCGAGGAAGGCCTCTGCTCTCTGCGCGTCGGCCTGCTAAGTCGTGTGGCGTATGTGACATTTACAGGGGCACATATGTGCCCGTCGATACACACAGGGGCCAATATACGGGCAGGTGGGGGTAAGAAGGGTGCCGAGGTCGTATCAGAGCCAGCGAAGCCGAAGCCTCATTATTGGGGGATTACGGTTCATTAATTCCGATCCAACGTTCTGAACTACACGTGAAAAGAAAAAGCCACCCCAAGCGATATTGCCAGGAGAACGTTTGAAGCTTCCACGCTCCCGCT